CGGGAAGATGTTTCGGGCAGGCCCAAGACTAAAGGAAAAGAAAGACAACTCCGAAATTCCATACTTTGTACAGCAGATGTATACCCGTTTTCACACCTTGGCTCGTGTGATTAGGCAAAGGTTCAATAGGGGGTCCACAACTCTCTTAGGGACACTCCTAATAGGGCTTAGAAATCTAGGACTCTCCACCAATTTCTCTTGGAACTGCAGAAGCTTCTTGAATGAGAGGTGAAAAGTCTTCAAGAAACTTAAAGATGTCCACACGCTTTTCTTTCCAAGCTCTTTCCTAGCTTAGACTAGAAATTGTTATGTCTGTATGAAGCTTTTTAGCCTAACAGTAAACAGAAATAATCTTTCTTCAACAGTTGGATCCTTAGAGATTATTCTCTAAACCCTGCACTGGAAAAAATATCCTTCACTTCACCTGTGATCACACACTTTAGTTTTCCAGTGCAAAGGAAGCTGGCAGAGGAATGCCCAAGAAAAGAGAAAACTTTACAGAGTTGATTTGTGGCAAACAAAGTTAGCGTTCATATTTTATCACATTTGAATACTATTTAAATTTATAGTTTTGTATGCCTGAATTTTACTTGTAACAATTGCCTTAAGGTGCAACTGTAAGTGCCTTTAATCAACAGTTGTTGTGATTTTGGTCTATATAAATGAAATTAATTTGATTTTAATTCAATTATACTTTGTACAACCAAATCAAATATCTGTAATGCAAAAAAAACTGAACAATAGCAAATCTAAACCTTCAACCGGTGCTGACCATCATTTAGTAACATTACTGAATCTATGAGTGTTCTGTCACTAGTAAGTTTGTTATCAGCTTGACAGTTACAAAATATATAGTTTAATTAAGCTTACCATTATTTTTAAAGTGCTAGTTCACAGCAACAGTTGTCTCAAAAGTCTTTGTATTGTAATCCTAGTTTATGGTCACAGTGGTTAGACAGTGTTTCTAGCCTCTTTGGGGCTAAATGCAGTAACAGAAAGTTACGGATCATTTAGACCATTGTGCATTTAAGTCTTGCCTGTAGTTTAACTGATGTGTGTCATCTGGCTTTATAGATCAGTACAACCGGGTATAGGCTGCATAGTATTGGAAATGTGTGCAGTGTTTGCACAAGGGAACCAGTTACAGTATGAAAAATATTTATTGTACAAAATAATGAACTTTTTACAAAAGGATGTCACACATTCTATCACAAAGAAACCTTTAACATTTTGCCCTCTCAACTTATTTAACCAGTTCATTTTCATCTAATTGCTATGAACCGTTTTAATTTATTAGTTTTGGTTTATTTCTCAAGTTTTGCAAACTTTCAAAGATGTCCTACATCCTGTCAATTACAGACACCTCTAGATAAATGACTGGTACATTTATCACAACTGGGTGTACACCCCATGATGGATTATGAACCTCTGTCATCCACAGCGTTCATGGTACCACTGCTGGCAGCTGGACAGATGTGTTTGACAGCCGGTACTTTCAGTTAGGTTGGGCTTACGATGAAATGTTTAATCATTTACTGAGAAAACCTTGTGTTCTTCTTGTGTGGTACAGATTTTTTAACATGTTTAGACAATCTTAGTCAAGTTCGACCTTTTCGCATTTGTCTGTCCTTTTCTCATTTGTAGGGTGGAACAAGTGTTAACACAGCAGAAAATTCATGAGTTTATGATTTTTATGGTAACAGCTACTGGAAGATGGTCAGATTAGATAAGTATGACTTCTTCAGTCTGGTGAAGTCACTTGGATAAATGATGAAAGGTTTCTCCCACTAAAAGCGCTACATCCAAATGAAAAGAATCAGCTTTTTGGGATTTGCACCTTATACTTTGTACTTCATGGTAGAAAGTATAACCAAAATTAGACTAACCAAAATTAGACTCAGATGCCACATTAACTGATGAAATAGTACCTATTATTTTGAAATTTGACATTGCCTATAATGAGTATTTTATTTTTGCTTCTCTGGATATATTTTGATACTAATTATGATATATTTAAGTAAAATGTTTAATGTGTTTAGATGTAAAAGTGTCTTTTTAAAGATCTGAAAAAACACTGTTGCTCTAGTTTTCAGTTTCACCACATGATGATGAGGCAGTTGTATGACAGACTTTATATCACCCATTTTTAATTTATGTCTTTCCCATAAAATGACTGGATGTAACTGCGTGAATGACAGTGTCATTGTTTTCCCCTGTGCAAACACTCATCAGCACATTCTTGCCTAAAGCCTAAGGCATTTACAGTGAAACTAAACCTACACACTACATGACTACAATAAATAAGAAACAGCTGTCAACTAATAGGCTTAGCTGGATGCTGAGCTCTTCAGTACACATATGATTTGAGAGGCAGGGGGCTCAAATAAATGTGTATTACAGTGCCACTGAGCAAAATCTCTGAAAAACCTTTGGCAACATGGTGGATCAGTGTTGCCCCACAGCAGGAGGATCTTGAGTTTAAACCCAGGCAGGGCTGTTCTGTGTGGAGTGTGCATGTTCTCTCCATGCTTGCGTGGGTTGTGTCCAGGAGATCGGGTTTCTCCCACTTTTGGGGAAAAAAATTCCTATAGGCTTTTGTGAGCCCAGGATACACCCACAAAAGAGACTGATTTCATGAGCTTCACTTCCTGGTTAGATAATGTGACATGTGAAAGGTCATCAGGTCATTGAAAAATGATTCTAAATATATTTTGAAATGTGAAAGGACATCTCTTCCTCATGGACACTTCTGGAAACGTCTCACACTTAAACTCGAAACACTTAAAAACTCGGTGAAAACAAGATACAGTATTTCACTGGAAAGAGGCTAATACAGTAAACTCACACTGCAACTCACCATGATATTTATGTATATGTAGATGCACATGGCTGGAATAAACTTTTTTTATGTGTTTACCTATATATTATCAAATGACATCTAGTAATAGTAGTCTGTGTACCTGGAGTTAAAGTTGGGATCTGCCTGATAAGACAGATAAGAATAAATGGCAATCAAATTCCATTAATCAATTTTCTTCCAAGGCTGGAGCCTATCCAAACTGTCATAGGGCGAGAGGCGGGGTATACCTTGCACAGGTTGCCAGTCTGCTGCAGGGCTAACACCCAGAGAGACAAGCAACCAGTTGCACTCACATTCACACCTGTAGGCTATTTGGAATGACCACTTAACTATCTGGATGTGTTTGGACTGTGGGAGAAAGTCAGAGTTCCTAGAGAGAACCCACACAGACATGGAAAGAGAGGCCACACAGAGAGGCCAGATGGTATATCAAACTCAGAACCTTCTTCCTGTGAGGCAACAGTCCCACCACACCATTATGCTATGTGAAATCAAAATGATCAAATTCTATAAAAGAAAGATTTTTGAATCAGTGACTAGTTGTGATAGAAATAGCTACTAAACTTTCATGATTTTTTACCATTCATACCTCCAGTCAACACAAGGATATTCAGTGGGTAAACATTTTGAAATGAGGATGAATTTAAGAGTTTTTAACAGCATCAAAAGACAAGTGTTGACTTTTCATGTTTCAATCAAATTTAGGCGTAAAGGCATTCATTTTTAAATACCATGAAAGGCCAGACTCATCCCAGATTTAGCTGAATAAAGAGGGACATAATAAGAGCTCATATGACTGAATAGCCCTTCCTGTTGTTATTACCAGTATAGTAGACATAGTCGACAATGTGGTCTGTGGGGACTTGTTGCTCAGTTATAGCCAGACTACCCTGTTAGCTCACACAGCAGCGCCACACCCTTTCATCCCTCTGTGAATACACAAGTGGGCCAGTAGAACTGGTATTCGGATTAGCTAAGCACTCTAACATGAAAAAGGATATCACTCAGTGTTTCAGGGAGTGGCCTGAAAATGTGTCCAGCCGCTAGCGGTTTGCCATGGCTTTTGCTCCATTATATGGCATCTGCTGAGTGAGGTCAGGCATGATGAATTTTTAGTTATGAGGAGGTCTCACAGCTGCAACCTTCACAGCATGCCGTAGTTCTGTCCTCTCTCGGAAGTAACAATAGCACTACTGTTCCTAATATTTCCCTGGCAGATTAGATAAACAAGACTCCCACACTGTGGAACATAAATACATTTTGTCTGTTTTATTGAAACTCATAAATATTCAGTGAAACATTCAAATCTAAGAATGAAGAATAAGTCTAATGTTATGATGCTAAATTTGACACATTTATAGTCTATGTACATGGTTTACAGAGGTTTAAAAGCACAATGGATGATATATAAATACATTTTCTGCATCCATTTTTTTCCCCTTCTGAGGCATAAAGTAAATTTTAGGCAATCTTATAAGTGTATGAAAATGCCATTTTTATGGCAACACAGGGGTAAGTATTTATTGAGCTTAGGACCAAAACTAATTTATGACATGTCTTTTATAGTAAAATCATAATATATACACAACATTATTGTGGTTGTGTGCAACTGTGGCTCAAGGAGGTTAATGGTTGAATGTTTGGTTGAATGATTGTGCACATTCCCCAAATAACAAGTATATCTTTGGACTGTGTGAGAAAGCTAGTATAACCTGGAGAGAACGGATGCACACGCAAGTTGAGGGAGGACACGCAAACACCACACAAAAGGAACTCAGCCAACAGGTGGATTTGACAACATCCTCTTTCTGCGAGGAGACGGAGCTAACTACTGCATCCGCTGTGTCACCAGTTTTATTCATACATAATTTTAATGCTGATTGCTTTCTGCATTGTTCTAATTTCTCATCTATTGAAAATAATTACAGGTGTGCCATGTTTTTAACTTAAAATACAAAGTATTGAGTGATGACTACAAGAAATGATCTGAAATTAAGTACAAGTGAAAAGTGGCAGCAAGGTACAAATACTTTAAATACTTTGGGCAGCTGCTGTGAGCTTTTGTGTGTATTTGCTGATTAATGAAGATTTCACTACAGAAAAACAGTAAGGAGGGGAGCGCCTGCCGGGGTGACGTCATTGTGATCCACATCCACGGTAGCAGGAGGGGTGAGGTGGCCAGCCGCTGATCCACCGGTATCATGGCTTCCTAACAGGACGGGGGGAAGTGACTGAGTGGAAAAACAAGGATTTTTGTCTAATGTCCAACTGATCATCGCCCTTTCTAGAACCTGAGATTGGGACAGAGGGGCTCGGCCTCCCTTTTCGCCTCTCACGGCCGCCCCTGAGATCCAGTATATACTTTAATTCTTCTCGTGAATTTCCATTCTTGAACCGTGGAAGATGGCCGACCCGGCGGAGTGCACCATCAAAGTGATGTGCCGTTTTAGGCCCCTGAACAGCTCCGAGGTGACCAGGGGCGACAAGTACATTCCCAAGTTTCAAGGGGAAGATACCGTCATTATCGGGGTGAGTTGATTTGTGTTGCTACCTGTTTGACAGAGCCCTCCGGCACTGGCAGCCGTACGCCATTTTTGTCTTTCGTTGACGGCAGTTAGCACCTTAGCCTGGTAGCTAGCGGCGCTAACCTGCTCACGGTTGCGTTGTTTCGCTGGCCCTCGGCTGGCGCCTCGATTCAGTGGCTCACATATAACGTGCTAAGTCTTCAGCTTTAATTTTATATACAGACTCCGGCAGGATTTAATTCCACGTTTCGGAACAAAGCCCAGTAGTTGTTGTCATAAAAATGTCACCACTCGCGGTTGCCCTGTCATTGCTAGCGAGCTGTCATTCAACAAAGCCACAAACACAGCGACAGGTTAAAATGTCGTCGGCGGCCGCGCGCTTGCCTGCCAGTCCCATCCCTTACAAACTACAATATTATAACGATATAAATTATTCATAGAGTGTGCATCTGTAACGATAACTCTATTATGAACAGTTTGCGTCAGCATAAAGCGTAAGCCAGCTTTGATTTGGTAGTGGCTAGCAGGCTAGGCCAGCTGGTAGTTGACAGATTAGCTGGCCTCGGCTAGCTGGCTAGTATTAATACTGTAGCTTAATCAGAGCTAACATCAGATAGCCGACTAGCTGGCTGTTGAACCAACCCTTCTGCAGACCAATCACGTTTATCAGAGTATTGGATATGAGGGTGGGAATGAGGAAGAGGAAACGTGGACACACAATAACTGGGAGTGGAAATGTCCATTATCATGCAGGCCAGTTGTAGTCTGTTGGACTAAAGTGACTGGACACATTGCAGTGCTATCTTATAAAATCCATGTGTTCTCTTTTCAGGATGTTTAAACTAGAGTTTTTTGTCTTTAGTTTAATTACCCCCCTTGCACTTGATAAGGATAAAAGGCTTTGGAACAGTTACCATCACAACAAAAGAAGGAAATGCCTTGCAGTACCACGTTACCTCCATTTTACTAAACCAACAAAGAACTTGACTTGAGAACCATTTGCAAATAATGTGCACTTGATGCTTTGTCATCGCAGGCCTGTAAAGCATGTCTAGAGCAGGAGCTGTTCACACAACTTGATGCCCTGCCATTGCATGCCTCTACACAAAAGGAAGTTACCCGATCTTTATGTATTTCACAGTTACTTGTAATTAAGAAGCAAACAGCCCTAAACCTGAACTGACATATAAATTTTACAGTGTATGCTCAACAGGTGAAAGGGAGTGGCATATTATTTGAAGAAAACGTGGTTAAATATTAGTTTTTCTTGACGGCAAACTGCCTCACTCTTTGTGGACTTTGCTATCTTTATATGATATGATCACCAATGGAAATACAGCTTTAAGAGAGATTACAAGGCAATAGAAACTTGTCGTGAATTTGAGTCACGTCTTCTCGAGTAAAACTACTAATTTAGGTGGTGATTGTAGAGTACAACACAGCCATTCATTTCCTGTCAAGCAAAAACAGAGATGACCGTTAGAGCTGTGTGCTGAGTTCTTGAATAGTTTTGCTGACAATGACTTCAGGCCTCCAGCTAATAGCAGGCACACTGTCTGTGCAGCTAAGGCATGATGCAGCCCTGCCCAGTTCAGAGTGCCAGTCATAGTGGCAAAATACCAGTGCAGATTTTGAGAGACGCAAGTGTTGCGAGCCAGAAGCGAATCGTCTCTGTTGGTAAATCTGCTTCGAGAAGTACAGGACCGGCAGCAGCTCAGGGATCCTGTGTAATCCCCTGGTGTTTTTCTCTCCTGGTTACCAGCTGTTGGACCAATCAGAGCAAGTGGGCGCTGGGCAACCACTGCGGGTGGGGAGGGTAATTATTATGGTGATGTATTTTGTTTTGCAGATGCTCTTAGCTCATACTTTGTCCTTTTTGAAACAATTCAGGGCATGGACTCTGAGCTGGGACTGATACCTCAGCATCAGTGCCCACACTTCCAGCTGTAAAGAGAAGCAGCTAGACCAGTGCAGACCATTTTGATAGTGCTTAATGCTCCTTTTTAGCTTTGATATTAGCTGATTACCAACACACTTTGTCTTTTCGGAGGAATTCACGCAATACATCAGAGTTCCCCTGTAGCTCACTTTTAGGTACTCCCAGTCTTTTGGCTTGAAAGCGAGAGGTAGATGAAGTTTCCAGATGAGGTGGTATGGGTGTCGTAACTAGCTTGATTTGCCAAGAAAGCTTTGCCATCCTAGTGTGAGTGTGCAGCAGGTGAATTATTCATGCTTTCTTTCGTTCTCCGTCAGTGAGATCAGATCAGAAAGATCAGGTCGTCACCCCCTTCCTTTGCTTTTACGTTTGCTATTTTCATACATTAGCCTCAGATGTCCCTCAAGAACAGCTTTGAGGTACTTTTACAAAGTGTAGTACTGCAAAAGCGTGAAAGATAAATGGGAGGAAAATTATTCAAAAGAGGATATAAAAGGAAATGTTGTATAAAAAATTATATGTACTGTATGTACTGTATGTATATGAGTGCATGTGTGGTGGATAAAGAGCTACACACTAGTTTCTCCTCTTGGAATTGTTTGTTTTTCCCAGTGGGAAATAACTAAACATTATAATAAGATGCTTCTCAAGTGAGCTGCTGGTGGCAGTTGGTGGATAGTTCTGCTCTGGAAATGTGGCCATGACATGACCACACCTGGTCCTTCACCTGCTGTTAGAGGAACCTTCCAGCTCACATAGAATTTCCAAGGACAGACGCAAGCTGTAGAGTAAGGTGGCAGCACTGAAGTAGGTCCTACGTCCTAGGACTCCTAGACGGCTAGGTGGTTAGCAGCAACTAAACTCTTAAACGAGAACTTTTTGATTACACATGTAAACGCTAAAATGAGTCGCTAGTATTGTTGGATGGTCTGCCCAAGTAAGATTGATGTGTTTGGTAGGGTTGTCACAATACTAGAATTTGAAACTCGGTACTGATACCTCGGGAAATATTTGATACCATATTGTTTTCACAAAGGGGAAGATTTTGACCCCACCCTGCAACAACCAAAGTGATGGCAAAGTCATCTCTCGAAAACTTGTTAATTTAACCTGTTAATTTTAATTTTTTCTTTCCCAATTTGAAGTTAGAGTTAATAAAATAAGTATTTAGAAGTTTTTACAGAGTATTTGGATCATTTTATCACAGATCATGAAGGTAAAATATGTTTCAGAACCTAGGCACTGATACCTAGGTCACAAACACCAATACCGGTAATACTTACTCTCTAAATAATTGAATTATTTTAGAAGAAGAACAGTATGAAAAAGTTAAGAATAAACACATAGTTAACGTTCATCGTCTATCTGCAGCAGTGTTGTGTGAAGTTGTGAATCGGCTGGAGGAGGCCACTGTTGGTATCGATACTGTTGCAAAGGTGTATTTTAATTCGATATAAATTTTTAGTATCACTTAATACAGGAGTATTGATATTTATGTATTTAATTGTGAAAACCCTAGTATGGAGAAACACAGGATAAAAAAAGTGCTTATGCAACATATAAGATGAGATAAATCAGATATACTGTATTTATCCCAAACCATGGGAACTTACTGTGTTCCAGCAGCCAAAACATTAACCATAACACCAAAAAAATCTAAATAACATAAAAAGCTAAGTAAAATAAAACTGGACAAAACGGCGAAATCAGGTTAAAAAAATATGCAAAAGGAGCAAATTGAAACAGAAATGATATGAAATGGTTTGAAGATTTTCTGTCCTTGTGACAGCAGCACTTAAACAGATGACAGAGAAGAGTGAAAGCAGTCAACACCTTTTTTTTCTGCCATATGTAAGAAAAATCCAGATTTGGGGAAAAAACCCCATGGCTGTATCATGCTTCGAATATTAAGATGCATTGGGTGTTGGTAGAATAATCTAATTGTAGCTCTATTGTCTAAGGTATAACTTAATACGCCTGATAGAAAACCATCAGGAAGCAAGGGGTGTGACAGAGCACTCATAAATACTCTAACAATACATTTCACTGCAGTTACAATTACACACAGTAATCCCATTAGACATAAGTGCAGGTAACAATGAGGACTTTAAGTCAAGCTCTGTTGTTTGCTGACAGCGTCTGGCAGTCCTGATAGTGGCTCAGCACTCTTGTTTTGGGTCAGTTTCCGGGATGTGGCTAACTGGAATGAATTACAAATGTCTTAAGATGCTGCCGGTAGGTATTGCACAGAGCTGTGCTTTAGATGCGACCGTCTGTCAGGAGGGGATTATGAGCCGGTGTGCAAATTGAGGACATCTAAGCACAGCTGCAGTCGTCTGAATGATTCCAACACCGGTAAACAGGCTGTTGCGTTTGCTGCCAGGCTATGAAGTATCTGTGACTTCACCTTGAGTAGTGAATGTGTTTGCTTTTATTCCTGGCCTCAAACTAGTAAGCTAGTAAGTGGAGCCTTCAAGGTGACAGCAGTTGCTTGTCGTCATTTCATCTTCCTAAACAGGTGTTAACACTGAATCTGACAGTAACTTACCTGCTGCCATGTCTGTTTTTAACCTGGGCTATCACTAATGAGGCTCTCTTGTGCTCAGACTGTTAACACATCACAGCTACGTCCTTGCCTGTACGGCTGAAAACAAGATGAGAGATCCAAACCTTCAGAGATAGCATGCCATCCCAGCTGAACTTCAGATTTGCTTGTAGCATTAGTTTTATCGCCCTGCAGTTCATCATCTTCTTCCTCATCTTGCACTTCGTCATCTTGCCAGCTATTGATTGCTATCTGACTGAAAGTCTACTTTGAAGTTTTGACTAGCCTGTGGGTCAGAGTGAGATACACTTGGCTTTTTTGAAGCAGGATGGCTCTTAAATTAGCACTAAAAGCTCAGGGTATACTTTAGTTTATTTCAAATGCTGGGAGAGAGATGTGGGATGAGAAAAGCTATATTAGATGGGAAATGCAAGCATTTAGAGGTTAACTAGAGTGCAGCTGACAAAGGCTGAATTGGGTGGAGAGTAAAAAAATACAACAGTATAAAAGCCGCCAGGTTTAGTTTAGGTTTATTTATTTATTTATTTTGTCCAACATCAGATGACATCCCTCCTATTAAAATACATTTCCTGGTATCTTTCAGTTTTGTCTCTTAAAAAAAAAAAAGAAAAAAAAAAGGAAAATGTGTTTGGGGAAAAAATGCTTTTAAACACTTAACAACTGATGAAACACACCTAAAGTACAATTAACAGTGTTTCCCCACACGTAGACTTTACAACCATTAATGATTTTGCTGGTGAACAATGCTGCCACTCTTTATTTTTAAGGTTCAGTTACTGCTTACCAGCTAGTCCTTCTGGTGTCATGTTCTGCCATTGGCAGGCTGATCAGAACCATGTTCTGGCGAGTCTTTGTGTCACGATCAGGGATCCACCCTGACATCACCATCTACCATTATGATGGTAGGGCTGGGCGATATATCAAAAATTTATCGTTACCGAAATTTATGACTCTCATCGACGTCATTTTGCCCATGTTGGTAAATTCGGTATTTAAAAAAAAAAGAAAAGGCATGTGCAGGTTGGCGATGTTCATGTCCCTTTAAGACGCTGTGCTACGTTACAGACTTGATGGGGTGGAGTCACATGACTCTACTACCTGTTGAGCAGACACTGTGCGATTTTTTTCAGTCGCGCGAGTCAGCTCCTGCTCAAACTGTACGATTGACTCGCAGGGGTTAGAAGTTCATAGGTCACGATGCAGGGTCTCACACTATACGGCCCGATGCTCTGATGCGACCTGAGTGCTCACACTGCGTACATAAAATGAAGGTTATAACAGAAATTCTGTCGCTCGCTCTCCCTCTCTGTCTTTCACTCACACAGACACGCACACCACCACCATCAACTTTGCTAAATTGCTAATGAAAAACATTGATCAGGCAGCTGTGATGGAGCAGCAGTGTAGATCCAACTATTTTCACGGTTGTTGTGGTCGTGATCATTTTGTGAGGCACATCGAAAAGGCTCGGATAAGCTTTCCAAAGTTCTACAAGTTGTGCGTCCATCGCTTGTGTCCAGATCACACGCTGCACTGCCGTGCCGCGCAGTCTTTTTCGCTGACATTTGTGTTTGCGCGTGCGCAGTGTGACAAACTGCGGTGACACCCTCACGACGGTCCGACGACCAAGCGATTGATGATCGGAGCTCGTCGTGAGGTGTCATCGCTTCTCGTTACCCACGTATACTATATGATGCATGACGCACGATGAAGGCCAAAATCGGGCCGATCGCCAAACGGTCCGACGACTCAAAATCGGCTCAAAATGGGCCAAAATCGCACAGTTAAGCCCAGCATAAACCCAGCATAAACCCAGCATAACAAGACGAGACACGGGTGAACAAATGGAGGACAATTTAAATGTTGAAGCAGCAGCGACGGAGGTAGAGCTGGTGGAGGAGGAAGAGGAGACGCTTGTTAACAAAAAAAAAATGCATCATCAATCGTTTGCAACATTTTGGATTCAACAAGATGATATTGATCAAAAAAATTGTTAAATGTAAACTCTGCAAAAAGACTGTTGCGTCAAGTCAAGTAACACAACCAACCTCTTCCACCACCTGCAGCACAAGTTTTTGTTTAAGAGTTTATAGTTTTCACTAGTCACATGGCAGTGCTTAGTATTTATTATAGTTTTTTCTGTGTTCAATTGACATTGTGTTTGTGACATTATTTGTTTACAAGTTATAGTACTCAAGCCTTAGCAGAGATAGGCCTTTGTCCATGATGGCATTACATTGCACAATCATGTTATTGTGAATAGCCAATGTGAAACATATTTATTATTAAAACTATTTTGTTACAAGGATACACATTTTTTTAGAGAGCATGGTTACATATTGTATCCTACACTTTTATTTTGTTCAGTAATAATCTTAACCACTAAAAGTACTTACTTACGGTGGCCCTGAATGTCTTCATTTATTTTCAGTGACATTTACAGTCCTTTAAAGTGGTAATAATATAATGCAATGATAGGTCTAGGGGAAATATTATCAAAATAACTGGAGGAACTATGCTGCCTGCCACAGTCCATCAAATAAAAAAAAAAAAACGTTTGTTTTTTTTTGGCACTTGGGGTGGTTATGTCCATTATCGTTATCGAGGTTAACTGCTCAATTTATCGTGATATTGATTTTAGGCCATATCGCCCAGCCCTAGTAGGCCTTATGTTGTAAGCTAGAAGGCCACAAAAACAGAACTTTTGCAGCAGGTGGAGAGGCAGTTAGTGGGCTGCTCCACTGTGCTGTGAAAGACTGCAGAAGAAGAACTACTGTCACCAAGTGCAGAACATCTGTAGCAAGAAACTGTTTGCATAAGCAGCTGATTACTCATCTGTTATTTATTGTAACAAAGTATTATTTAGTAATCCAAGTAAATAATATTGTGTAGTGGGTCCCATGTCTATCTTTGAGTTACTGTAGATGAATCTATGCTGCTGCTGCTGCTGGACATTTTTTTAAGTTTGTATAACTTACAGCCTGCTGGTCAGCTTCCATCAGGAAACACCTATCCGATTCTGGGTGGGAACATGGTCCGTAGTGAATTCCTATTGTGTCTGTTAGTGAAAAAAACTATTGTACACATCTGTTTACAAAACGCAAGTCGGTTTATTTTTCAGAGATTGCAGATTATTGGCTTTCTTTTTTTCTTTTTTCTTTTTTTTACTGTCATTAATACTCCCTCCTTTTTTTTTCTTATTTTTTTCCCCTGCAGGGTAAACCTTACATGTTTGACAGAGTGTTTCAGTCAAATACAACACAAGAACAAGTGTACAACGCCTGCGCCCAAAAGATTGTAAAAGGTGAGGGGTCGCTTTTATTTTTGTAATCATTTTATATTTCTTTGTTTACAGGCATTTACACAGCAGATCAGTTGAATCTTTGCTTTACTAAGTTCTGAGTTTTTTGGGTTTTCTTGTAGATGTTCTCGAGGGTTATAATGGGACAATTTTTGCATATGGGCAGACATCATCTGGTAAAACACACACCATGGAGGTAAGGATGGCCTCCAAGTCTTGTCTTAATAAAATTTTCATTTGACTTTGAGACATTACAGTAATTTGTTCTGTGTTCCCAGGGGAATCTCCATGACACAGATTCAATGGGAATTATCCCAGGATAGTGCAAGACATCTTCAACTACATCTATTCCATGGACGAAAACCTAGAGTTTCATATCAAAGTAAGAAGACGGGATGCACAATACAGTGATCCAACAGATAAAAAGTTTTTTATAAAAAGTGCAGTTTTTACTCCTTAAAACTGAAGTTACATTTTCAGATATATAGCTAAGATCTGAGACTATGAGTGCAAGAGACAAGCTGCTTAGTTCCTTCTTTTTTTTGTAGCCTGCGGTTATTCTGTGTTTCTTATGCCTGAGACAATATAAGAGACGGAGAAGGGTGATATGCTTTGAACTGCAATGTCATATTTCCTGTTTGACCCACCTCCTTTGAGCTCTGCTCTTATGTTAAAGCCCTTACTGTGAAACTGTACTAAGTACCAGATTTTAACTGTCTGCTGCTGCTGTATTTGAAGTATGTGTGAAGAAATGAATTAAATCATTTAATCAAAAAGATCCAAGAAACAATTACAAACTACACTCTTCAGACCTTCGCACATCTTTCTCTTAGAGTAAGGCAGATCGATGAGTGTGCATCTGGATTGTTTAGTTTGTTCCTTCAGTTTGGCCCTGCATAATGAGATTGTTTATCTGTTTACAGGTTTCATATTTTGAAATCTACTTAGACAAGATCCGGGACCTTTTGGACGGTAAGTGTCAAACATTTCTCATCTCCTCTAATTGTACCAAACTTTGGTAACACATGTCAAAGGAGAAGTCTGTGAAATGGAAATTAATGAGCAGCAGTTAGAAGCACGGTGTGGCAGTTAGCTGTATATGTACAGAATTGCAAATGTAGGTAATTTTGTAAGTGCAACAATGTATAAAACATCTAAAAACTAAGCATAGGAGCAGGCTGTTTCAAGAGAAATATTTCTTTTGTTTATTTGTATTTTATTTGATCTTAATCACGTATTTCCATGCTTACACATTTTGAGTCATATATGTTTACACTATCAAGTACAACTTTATAAAGTGCTCTATGAATAGTGGGATGATGTATACTTTCTTTACCAAGTCGCTGGCATCTTGACTCAAGATAGCAGAAATAGAAAGATGACCAAGGGAGGGGCGGTTTTTAGTTGGTTGCATGAGGATGCAGAGTCAGGACAAGTGATTTTACTGATGCTTACTGAGGTCTAGCAAGCTTGTTAACATGTGAGTTTGTGGCCTTGTTTTACGTATCTTGAATTGCCATCTTCACTGTCTCAGTGAAAATTGCAGGTAAAGGTAAAGAAAGAAACTTGCCATCTTTAATTCAAGATGCACTGTATTATCAAAAATCACTACTACACAAGTGCGTAGCATGCGTGTTATGCTAACAGTACAAGTACACACTATATATTCATATCAAAATGAGCTGCAGAAGCTGATCCTCAGTGTTTTGTTGTGTCAGTTGTGCTGTGCCTTAAATCTCTCACAGTACCAGTTCTTATATTGCCCTACATTGCATAATAAGGTTTTGTCGTCATTTTTTAATAAACTACGTGTTTTATTATTAATTGTAAAAAAGTTACAGGTCGTCATATTTCTTGCTGATTGGGTTTTTTCTGGCTTTGTTTGTTGTAAACGATCTAAAAGGAAATGGTTTAGAAGTCCAAGACAGTGAAGATGTAGAAACGGCAGAAGACTGAACACACATGAAGATATGAA